GGCTAATCCCTTCAGTTATGCCATGTTTTGTATTGTAATTTTTTTATTTTGGAATATGGGTATTGAAAATCAAATGTGCATATAGTTAGCAATTTCATTACATTATTTTTCGATATTCATTTCCAAGCACTGTTATCATTTCTGCACTGGTAAGGACAAACATAGTTATTAGTTTGTTTTAAGCATTGTAAAGGACACAAAGTCATAATTTTGATTTAAGCGGTGGGAAAGACACAAAGTTATTATTTTGATTAAAGCACTGGAAAGGACACAAAGTTATTATTTTGATTTTAGTACTACTAGTAATACAACAGTGCATGTATGCGAATTTCTAACTGTCATTTGTTAAAATTTGCACCAAAACTTTCTTTGATTATTGATATATATTTTTTTAAATATAATGACTTTAAATATTTGGAATTTGAAACTAATCTGTCCTTTATCTCAAAGACTAACATGTAATTAAATAGAGGATGAAATTTAAATAGCACCGTTCAAAGGTCCACGCAATTTTTTTTACCGCCACTGTTGATTCTTATATTTTTAAGAATTGTTCTGACTATACAAGATAGATATTGTGAACTAGTATAGAACATTAAAACAAGTCCCCCTTATCCAAGTTTTACATGACAAAAGCTATAAATCTAACTCTTTAAAACTTATCTATCTTTAACTGTACAAGTCAAGCACTAGTTCAACTCGATTTGAACAATTTCAACTTCTCGTTGCACGTTATATTAGGAATGAAAACTATATGTAGTGTAACTTGTCTTGGTGTTTATTTTTATAAAACATATTTATCATTAGTTAAGAAATATCATAACTTTTTATCTTTATAAAAAGATATATAGCTTCTAGACAATTTGTGAGGTTTTCAAATTCTTTTTTTTATTTTACTTTGAAATATTACAAAGAACCCTACCAAATATTAATATACTCTTGGCGATCCTTCTTTAATAAAATCCAAGAAATTCATTACGTATTTATGATATATAAATAATAGTTTATTTAATTGTATAAAATACCACTTTAAGGAAGATGCGACTTAAAGAAAACTAAGTAATTTAATAATATTACTATCAACGAAAAAAAAATATTTATGTCCTAACCGTGAACCTAACACAACCACAATTGGATGTAGCAAATTAAATTAAATCGACAAACGGTGTATCTATAGGCTATGGAAAATAAAATGAAAGGACACATATCAAGGCTTTGGTTTGTCCTTTGCACATAATTATGAATATTCATATATTTATACACATCTCTATTCCGGCGTTTTGATTTTATGCTCATTTAATATCCAACAGGTAATTAAAATGTTCAGAGCTAATGCCAAGTATAATTTCGATAGTTCTCACATTTTAAGAAAGTGACAACTCATTTTTTTTGATGATATTTATACCAATTTGGGTTCTTTGAAAGCAAAAAATTCCATAATTTTTTAGGATTTAGATTTGTGAAAATTAAGTCTGATATTACTTTATCTTGCTGTAATACAGTAAAATTGTATTTTTCAGGTCACCTCTCCAAGCACACCGACAACACCTCGGGCTTGCTGTGAAAATGGAAGACCTGTTATGACCGATCCTACTACTGGACAAACAATCTGTTCATGTCAATATGGATCAGCTTTATTAAATTATCCCCGATTACCTGGTCTTACTTCTAGTCTGTTTGGATCCACAGCTTATGGTAATACTACCGGTCAAAGTTATGTTGGTCTGGGAACTGAAGGATCGGCGTTTTATTCTCCATTGGTAAGTTCCATTTCAGAGAGTTTCAGGCTTTAATTTGCAAACACGCTTTGTTAAATTTTCAATTTGGAATATCAGTCAGTGCATATGGTTTCTAACACTTATTTATTTTTCGTATTTATTTATCACCGAACTCTATGACAGGTTTTCTGCCTTTTACTGTGTATATTCTGGTAACTTTCTCAAGATTCTTCATTTAAAAAATAAACAAAGCTGGACAATAAAACTGTATATATGGGTTGTAAATGAGTTTCAAATGCGAATTTTGATAGCTGAACAAAAACTTGGTTAATGGTTACAGAGCAAAAAGTCAAGTACATGAAAAATTGATAGATATATGAAATGTAGATTAGAATGAAGTCGTTCTTGAGGTGGTATGAGTTCGAATTAATATATTATAGATAAGAATTGAAATAAAATGATAATACACCAGGGTAGCCATATTAATTATTCGACTTTTAACTCGCTCAATTAGAAGATTTATCTTGAAATTCGTTTGTTTTGAAATAGCTAGTGGTAATAAACAAGTCAAATGTAAAGATATGAATACAAATTTGGATCCTATTGCTGGAACTTAATGATTTACACCAACATGAAAACATCGTCGAAAATGACCAACATATGATGATAAACCCTTTGGTTTATTTTTCAAGAGCAGATTTTCGATTTATAGTGTACCATCATCCGAAAGGAAGATTGTTCAATCTCTAATGAATTTAGTTTTCGTTCAACTAACTTGCAAAATTAATGTGTATTGGTTAACGAAAGTCTGAAAAAACGATAATCTATATAGAAAATACATTAGAATTAATCGTTGCTGAACTTTTACTGTATAGAAGTGATTCCGAAAAAAACATTGAGCTACTCTTTTGTTGGGACTAAATTGTTTTCGTTTCGTTATTACTAATTTCCTCTCTCGAAATTTTTGTCTCATTTTATGGCCCTTTTTGTGAGTAGCATTTTCATGTGAAATAAAACATTATGTTAATTTTGTAAACCAAGGATGTCTTTTATTGCCAGTTTTTTTACAACTGTCTAACATAAATCGCTCTTATCTTGTTAATCTGTTAACGCATTATTTCGTTTCTTGTTTTGATCTGATTGCGGTTTCAGATTTACAGTGAACCAAGATGACTGAACATGATAATGAGTGATTAGTCTATCATTTTCATCAATGATTCTGTTCTCTCACTAACATATCTTTGTTTTTATTAATTAATTTGTACTTAGTATAATGCAATAATATGATGGATCCGAAGAAAATACAAGTGGTTGTTAAGAATCAGTGTACCGTTATGCATATATGCACTAAAATAAACTTACGAGCGTCCTAAAACTCATGCAGTTCGTGTTTTATTTCGTCTCGTTAAATTTTATACGTTCTCATCTTTATATCGTATACTAAAATTTGAATATTCATGTTGAATATCGATAATAACAATAGGGAATCTACCTTAAAACTTTAAACTGACGTCAACAAGTCGTAAGCCTAAGGCAATAGGCATCCTAGGGTTACGAATTAATGCAGGGTCAAGAAAGAGCAGTGAAAATATTATCATTAAGTTCATAATTAGGTGGTTGTTGAGAAATAATACTACCGACCACAGTGGACCTACATTTATCATGGCTTTTATCATTGAAAAATGTATTCTTGGGACCACTTAACTTCTGCCTCCTACTGTTCACCATATTTATTCTACCTTGGCTAATACTGATAATTTTGCCTCACAAGTAGGAGAATATGTTGTTTTTTCAAGTAAATTTCGACAAGTAAATATAATTTTTCGAAATAAATTTTAGTTCTTTTTTGAAAGTTAAGACTCGGATAGATTTTTAAGTCAAAATGCCAGAATTAAAGTCTTGAAATATCTTAATCTTTTCTTAACTTTATTTTGTTAAGAAGCGAAACACAACTAAAATAATATTTATAAAGTTACCAAAGCCGAATTGTATTTTACTTTTATTTTCATTACACAAATAATCAGTTGGCATATATCCGTTCACATTAAATTTATGGATAAACTTTTTAAATATCAAAACTTTACACTTTACACTTGGATTTCTGTCTGGTTTGAAATGAGCTGCCACTTACGTTCATTATTGTGTTATCATTACGAAAATTTGTATTGCCTTTTCAGGGTGGTAACTCTACAGGACAAACTCAAGATGCTTGGAGATCTCTAGCACAACCAGCATTTTCCTATGACCCTTCTATGGGTTTATATCCTTATGGCCCTGGGTAAGTAACGTTAAAGTCTTCAATCATAAAACCAACCCCGTTCAACAACAATGGAGAATATATTGCAAGAACTTTGAGATGTTTTTGTCGCTTTGAGCTTTCAAAAACTAAACATCTACATGGTTTGTTCACATGTTGAACTAAGTAACACGAGTTAAAAGTTTTTAAAGTCAACATTAATCTTACTTGGCAGTAATAAATCTTTTCTCTTAAATCGTTGTAATGCTGGAGATAGACGAGGCTTTTTGGCGGTAAAGAGTAAATAATTTTCTTGTTTACAATGTTCACGAGGTGTTGTTATTTACCAATTTCCTCGATCTTAGCTTTCTTTGTAAAACTTTGTTATTTATTCGATACGTATAATAGTTGAAAACAGCACGTTTATAACATTTAACATAGAAATTTGTTGGACAAGCTGTCCCCATGTAAAGGGTTTAATGGTCGAGCGACCTTTAATCAGTCGTTTTTAATCAGCCAGGTCGTTTTATATTTTTCTGACATAAAAAGCTGTATAGAGTTGTATTTTAATTTTTCCAAATATATTTATATGGAGATGTCCCGAACTATGAAAATGATGACTAGTCTCACCTCGCCTCACCTTCCTTTATATAAATCCTTATGAGTAATGATGACCCAGGCTGTATTATATTTATACGCTAAAAGATTAGATGATGCGGTTAATTAGATAATTAGTGCATCGTTAGTAATTATCAATCCTTTAATACCGTAGTACACTCTAGTATGTACCTTAAAACTGACGATATTATTTTTCCTTCTGAAAGCCGATGAAAGTTAATCAACGTGGTTTTTTAAGAGATATAAAAAACAATTCCCCAAAAAACCAAAGAAAAGTGTTCCTGAAAATTGGAAAAACAAATTCGAAATAAGAAAGAAGTGATAGTAACAATTGATATTTGGTTTCGTCTTTAATACAAAGGCCTTTTTTACACTTGAATTATTAAATTTTACTCTGTATTTTCAGATATGGAGGTTTGGACCTTAATGCTAGACGTAAAAATGCAACCAGAGAAAGCACCACTACATTGAAGGCCTGGTTAAACGAACACATAAAAAATCCTTATCCTACTAAAGGAGAGAAAATTATGTTAGCCATCATCACCAAAATGACTTTAACTCAAGTAAGTTATATTTATCTTTTAAAAAGAAACTTTCGTAAATTTTCCTATATATTAAGGAATATAATAGAATATAAATTTTCGCACACATTTATGAAATTATCTTTCATTTTTCAGGTTTCTACATGGTTTGCTAATGCCAGAAGAAGACTGAAAAAAGAAAACAGAATGACATGGTCTCCAAGAAACCGTGGCGAAGATGATGATTCAGATGATGAAAAAGAAAACGAAGATGATGAAAAATCAAAACTCGGTGACAAAAAGGAAAAGAAAATCAATGGTAAGCTTTGTCACTGAAATTTTTGGAAGGGTCTGGTAGTTTAGATATTTCTCACGTGACCATACCTCATCATACCCCCATTAAACCAAAACGAGTATATTTACTCTATACACCGATGTCCTTTCTGTTAAGGGATTTATTTTCACCTTCGGGGTATTTAAGAGACGGGGTATCTGTTGAGGTTCAAAAAGCATCGTTATCCGAGGCATCAATTTAACATAAAGTCGAGATAATCTATTTAGAAATACAATCAACTTTTATCAATGTAAACGCCCCGGGGTATTGGCGCGTGCAATTGAATTGGCATGTTCTGCTTCACTGGAAGCTTTTTTCAAACGCCATGATGTGATTGACGGTAATATAGTCACGATTGGGTTAATTTGGTTGATAGAATCATTATATAATCGTTCTACCCCTGGGGGAAGGGGTGGGCATGGTAAAGATATCAATGTCGTTATGTTCACTGTTGGGAATAAAAGTAATTATGCTACTTAGATTGTCAACCATGTTAAAGACATTTCACACTTGACTTTATTTATTTATATATGATATGTAAGGAATACCGCCAAATTCAATTATACACAATGCCCTGCTGGATTATTACCAGATAAAAATGCAAAACTATTACATTTGTCTTAGTACAAGTAATTAAAATATGTTTCATTAACCTTAGTGAGAAGAAATTTATTCGTAATCATTCACAATTATTTTTTGCAGGTGATGGTAGTGAAATTCGTGATGAAGAAATCGATGTGGAATCAGAAAACCTAGATAAAAATAAAAAGAAAGTAAATGATAATCTATTTCTGGGTGATTGTGTTTCTCCTGTACCAAGTGTTGGTGAGGACTCGAGAAGTCGATTATCTCCCCCCGTATCACGTGACTCAGATTCTAGTTTTAGTGAGAGTCTCAACCCATCAGACTGTGATGATCAACAGAAACCAAAGATTTGGTCTGTGAGTGACTTTTTACAAACGACCCCACAAAAATTGGGCAAACCAGAATCTTTACTATTGGACAGTAACGGTGTTCCAAAAATTGGAAGTGGAATGACGTCATCTTTTACTCCAGTTTCTGCTTCTGCAGGACTAAATGGTCTCTTTTCGTCATATCCTTCATCTCTGGCGTACTCTTCCCATTCATACCCATACCCCATTTCTACCTCCGGTGTTGGAAAGTTAATGTCAAGGTCACCAGCTACAAGATTTAACCCCTACAACCCGGCAGGTCGACAACCCGTTGCTAATGGCTTCAACGCACCAAGAGATTTCAACGTAGTTCGTGAAGGAGAATAAACTGTTTAGATCTAGTGTAATTAGTGCTAATTAATTATGGTCAAAATCAACTGTATGTTAGGAAATCCATACAATTATTGTATTGTTTGTGTATATGTATAATTATTTTATAAATAAATTGTTGAAAGTTGAGGTAGAAAAAGGCTTGGTTTATTTAATTTTCTACGATCATACATTCATTATATACTTCCGAATCTCTGAACGAAATTTCAGGATTTTCTAGACATGCATCAAGACATGTAAATCATTGGTGACTGCAAAATTTACTGAAAGCCACTAGATATATTTCCAGATTTCCAGATTTTTCTTTATGCCCATGTCGGTGCAGTAACAAATTTCCCTTTGGTCAATATGCCTAATGAGATAATTGGAAAAGACCACCCAATGTTTTACAATATTGATGATATTTCTTTAATTACAGGCAAGCTTTAATAATTAAAGTGAGAAATCTAAGTCTTCACACCCACTCTTCCAATCCTGATATGTGGAATATATAGTCAATAACGCTACACAGATTTAAAGTTAAATTGAGACGAAAAAATTGATAAAAACTTAAAGTGTTAATTAAAAATAATTGTGAAGGATGTTGGCTTCATTTAGTCGATTCCAGTAATTATAGACCTACCCACCTCTTTTCTCAACTAAAAAATACTTCGCACCTGCTGAACTATGTCCAACATTGAAAATCTAATTCTACACATGACTGGTACTATGTTCAATTTGAGGATATTACAATAAGAAAACTTGAGAAATATTGACATATTATATAAAGAAATACAAGTCTTTAACTGACATAATTGATGTCTAAATATTGTTTAAACCTGGCACCAAGTACAAAAAAGTAAATAGAAATTGAAGACTCAATAAAAATATGAAAATATTAAATTTAAATATTCCTTTTATCACATCATCCATCAATTAAAAGTTGACTTTATTGAAAAATTCTAGAAGACAATCAGTCAAATTTGAAATCTTATTAAATAAATGTCTTTGTCTCTCGTTCACATAAAAATTAAAGATATTGGACATTTCATTAAAAATGTCGATATATGAATTTAGGGAATCAGAATTGAATAGTAGTGGTTTGGTTCTTCCATACCACAATAAATTAAATATTGACCCAATTACTTAATGATAAATTTGTCATCCGATTCAAGAATACAGGTTGGGTCGTATTCAAACTAAAGATTTGTCACAGCACGTTAGAAAGTATAAGAAAATAAGCCGAGGTTAAATCGTACGAATAAGAAGAAAAGTTTTCACAGATTAAAATTAGTACAGGAAAGACCACAAATTCAATGTTCAAAACCAAAAAGTGGAAAAGAAGTTTGAAATGAAATTTATCAACAAACCTTTATATTTGTCGGACATAGATGAAGAGTATTAATACAATAGTTAAACAAATTCAATAGCTTGTAACAATATCCGCTTCAATACCTAATGACAAAATAATTTCTTGTAAAGGAACGGATATTTCGTTTCGATAAATAAATCCGTATAAAGATACCGATGTTTCGTTTCGGTGAATAAATCCTGGTATATTTATTTTTTAATATTGTCCCCAGTCATTTCAGATTGGTGGTGTGGTTAAATAGAACCCGACCCAGGGATCTGTTGGATCAAAGTATACCGCTACCAGATGTTTACCTATATCAATATTAAAACTACTATAATCTCACCACAAACTATAACTTTTATTCATTTGATTCAATCTTATTAGTTAATCACATCTTAATTAACTGATATGAGGTTTATGAGGTTCGAAGTTGTTGAACTAGTCTTGTAGATCAGTTATTAATAACAAATAAATATCAACAGGCTTAAATCTGGAATATAAAACATCAAACAAGTCGATTTCTCGACCACTTTTAATCTGTGTATTCATTGAATACTAGTTGACAAAAACGCACCTTGTCGATCCTTCCAACAGTTTCTATACTTTCATATAATTAAAATACTTCAAAATAAAACTCGTTGACTTTATTTCGCTTTCCTTTCTTCTGTTTTTTCTGTTCGAATTATTGTACGTTACCGACTTTCCGATCAATGTATCGGTTGAAATTATAAATATATTTTGAAATAAATATAGGTACGGCTTTACGGGTATATACTAACAGTTAAGTTCTCGAAACTATCGAATTGAACAATCTCATAAGAGAACCAATAAATTCAGAAATCATACAGAAAACGACAAGCGTCTTCGAACAGATCAGAAAATAACTCTCGAATAAAATGTAACAGGTTGAACAAGGATTGGAGGGGTTCGCAGAAGGAGTGAACACGGTTGTAGGACAGCATATCATATAAAATAATTTTAACATTTCAGGTTATGTACCATAGTACGTGGAACCCTTCTTGAATGTTACCTTGTCAATGAAAGAAAATGTCACCTTTCCGTTAACGATATTAATGACAAACCAGCTAAAGGTGTGGTAAAAATAAAATGTATTGAAATGTGCCAAACGACATAAATTATATACTCTGGGGTTAAAAAAGGGTTCACTTGTATTTTCACCACACACACGATTGTGAAAGGTTATGTATTTGAACAATATTTGATGTATAACAAGTTTTCTAGATCTGTTATTCAAGTAGATTTAAAGTGTATTTATGTATTTAACAAGAAACCATCTGAATGCTTGGTCGACACTTGGGCACGTTTAGTAATTCTACACAGATATACAAATGGAAAATTATAATAAATGATTTAGTTCAAATTCAATTGCACCTAAGAATATGTATAATACATAGGTCTATAGAAATGGAGGTTATTGGCAATCAAGTGATTTGTTTAAATTTATTTACGTTTTTGAACCATTTTACATTCAAACTACTACCAGGTTATTTTTTTGGAAGTGGGCTTATAAGATATATCATTTCTCGAATCTACTCATTATTCAAACTGAGTTATTTTCCCTTGGGGTTTTTCAGATAAAAGGAAACTTAATAATGTTGTCGTTGTTGGAATTAGGACTGTAAGAATTTTCCTTTGCCGTTTCCATTCAATGAAATGATCATTCATTTGTGTCCGAGGTAACATATTTGAGCATGCAATCGCAGGGTCCTACACGGAGTATTTGATTTTTGTGAACTTTGTGTGCAGGAAAGTTCCTATTTTACGATTCCATGCTATGTATTAAATGTTGGCCAATCACGCTGCTTCGTCCAGGAAATTTTAGGACAAATTTACAGGACTAAGTTCACCTAAATGACAACTTTGTACTTGATATACCTGCACATTCCAGCTTTCATTATAATGACAATATAAATGCTCATGCTTATACTTTAATAGATATGAACTTTGACCTGCATAATCTTTCCTGTTTATAAAGATTTAACAGAATGTCATAGACGAACACGATACTTAATTGTGAATTTGTCATACCGTTGGGCATCTTACGGTTGAGAATGATTAAAGATTTATGTTGTGGAGAAAAACATGACAAGACAAGAGAGATGTACAGGTGTGAAGTGTAAATCAATCACCTAATGACCACTGTCCAGTTTGTTGTCCAGTCAGTTCAGTTTTTACAAGGTGTATTATACCGATTATAATAATCTTAATACTTTGACTAATGGAAGTAACAATGATGTTATGAAACCTAATAATCTTCGTG